TAATAAAATAAAATAGCAGTGCTCTTATGGTGTGTTTTTACCTCATGAACTCAAGTGATGACTCATTTGGACGCCCTTCAATCTGACCTTAACACAGCCAGGGAGATCGGAGATTCCCACAAGCGATGGTCTGGAAACAAAAGCAGGCAGACAGGAGGAGGAACTTCTAACCTCTATCCATAAGAGACAGATTAATAAAAACAGGCCAGTTAAAGCGTTTTTGATGCCTCCAAGATTTTTTGTGTTTCTATTTTTCTTCTTAGTTTCAAATCATCCAACTGATGCTGATATTGTCCAAAGGTAACCTGAATAACTACCAAAGGTTCTAAATTATTATTTTGTTAATTAAGGAATTAGATGTATAAACAGCCTATTGGAAAAATAAATAGTCTCCCATTTTAAAATGTGAATAAAGTTTGATTTACCTCATTATCTTGTTTCAGTTCTATCCAGGCATGGTTCGAAACAGGCAAATAAAAGGGCGAATGAATGGGTTATGAAGTTAATCTAACTATTTAGGACCCAAGCAAACCAAACCTAGTGTCATTAATCACAAACTAAACAAACAGTGGTCAACCTATCAATAAGAGGTGGAACCAACCAAACTTATTCCTAGAGTGCACTGACTGCTTTTCCGCAATATAACAAAAGAACCAAGAACCTGGGAGACTTGATAAAAACAGCATCCATATGAAAAATAAAAACATACTGCTGAGCAAATACAATATAAGAGCCTGTATGGTACTTTTCAAGAAAGATCTTGATGGTCCCCATGACTTTGGGAAATATTTTAAAATATTTTAAGGATTAACTGACAAAAGCACATACAGTATAATGCTATACCTAATGGGAAATGAACACATCATTTTAGATAAAGAGAGTCTAATTTAGAGGTGTGATTAGACCAGGAGGACTTAATGGAATAATTCATTTTATTTTTGCCTAAATGTCCAACCATAAGTTTGGGAGCTTTAGATCAATTATATTAATGTAGTAAGACAATAATCTGTCCTACACCACCCTGTCAATAGCTGGTAAAAAAAACAAAAAAACAATAACAACATAATAATAACTAAATCATTACAACATACATTTTTCGGATTGGACCTAATCAAAGTCAGCACCTAAAACTGGCTGAGATAGTATAGCCTTCGGTGAAGCAGGCCATTGAAGCTAAAAGCCATTAATGCTGATGAATTAGAGCAATACTATAAAGGAGAGTGTGGGCCATCTATATAAATTACTCCATTCTATCAGATCTGGTTTCAGGCAAATTAACAAATTTATTTCAAAACGGCTTGCAGTAGTTTCTCATGTCATCTTTTTCTGACCTTAAAATCATTTTAGCGAACTGAAACATTTAAGATATACAAACAGATTAAATCACTAAGGCGGCTCTTTTTTATTTTCTATAGCACAGAGAATAAATGATGACTAATGAAGGAGCGAGGCTGCTCCTACCTAAAGCACTGTCCTACTTATTTGTTGAATAATTTAACCACTACAACTAATAAGCATAAGGGAGAGTGGGAGAGGTATGGGTCATCATAGGGAGTAAAATTCAGCCATTGTGTCATGTAACACATTTTGTGAAAAAAAAAAATAGAAGAGTTTCAGTAAAGCACCTGAAATATATTTTTAAGTGCCTGAGAAAATGCACTAAAGACTCTTGAGTACTTCGGTTAATGAAGAAGTGTATGAGAATTATAATGAAGTGTTATCTCTGCACGGCATAATAGCATCTCTCAGGTTCCTCTGCTTCACTCTCACTGACTCTTCTCCATCAATAAAAAGAACTTCACCAACATTGTGGTATTTAGATTAGATAGCTGGTTTTGCAGATTAACAAACCTAAAAAACATTGTTGGTTTGATAATTTCTTATATAACTGTATACAGATTTTTACAAAAAATAAAAACATTTGCATGAAAAATCTTATTTGCCCCATGACTAAAGAAATTTGATCTGTGAATTTATTATAAATGATCCAGATAATGTATTTCCTCAGATTCATTGTAGAATGTTCTCAAATTAACCTGAGGACTATTAAAAATGCAATGATCTCTTTATAATTATTTCCCCCCCCTTTGTAATTGTAACTCATAAAAAGCAAATATTTTCTATCACATCCAGCCTGTTAAATAATTTGCCAGTTTTATACTCTTTATTGAATATGCCCAATTCAACAAATATATAGGGTGACTAATGGAGGGAATATAATCTTTGAAGTCCATTAAGTTTTTGCAATATTAATTTCTTTTTTTGTCAATTAAATTTTGTGGATTTTTATAGATTCATTTTCACAAGAGCAAAAAAACAAATGCATAATTCAGTTTATTCTAAGCTCATTATTTAAATGTATGTAATGCTCAGTCACTTAAATAGTTATAGGCTTTCCAAGGCCTAAAAAGCCTTTTTCAAAATGCAGAGAAAGATGCAGTTAAAATGCATGTTTGTGTGGGTGATGGATCTAACCAGCAGCGGCCTAATGGTTTGAAAATTAGATTTTCTTGGTTATAATTATCCTGGTATTGAAAAAGCTCTGCCAGAAAAAGGGTGGAGGACGCTTTTAACATCGAGAGCGCCCTCTGGTGTTTCTTTGCATGCAATACTACAAGAGTGAGCAGAATAAACCCCTCACTGGACAGACCAGCTATTCTAATTACTCTTCAATAGTGATAGAGCTGGTGAGCCAAAAGCAGTCAGCATGGAGTCTCAAAGCATTTAAGTGCTGCACTTTCAACAAACTGCTCAACACGCAGCTCACACTGCAGGAGGATATAGATTTGCTGTAGTGCTTTTTAAATGCTTTCCTTTGTATTCAAAAGGTTGCTTTATTTGCAAAAGCTTTATCCAAATCCCTATGCATAGCACAGGGTACCTCTGATCTACCATTCTCTTTGATGTTTTGCATTAAAAAAAAATATATTTTACAGTATTGAGTTGTACAAATTTAATTATTGAGTGAAATAACGATGAGACAAGTGGTATTTCTTTTTTTAATGGTTTGATTGACACTGTCAAGCCCATCACACAAACAAGATTTGAAATGTTTTATTTTTAATAGAATCTTGGACAAATATGTAAAATAAAAAACAAAACAAAACAAACAAAAAAAAAAACAGCAAAGTGAAATTTCATTCACTTTGTTTTGTTTTTCCTTAAAAAAATATCAGCCGTTTCCCCATTTGTTCACAAAACCGTTTCCAAACCGGAACAAACAGAAATAGTGTGGTCAATTCTGAGAAGCTGGAAGGCCATAAACATTTGTTGGCAAATATAAATATAGTGGTTTGAACAGGGTTTCAAATACATCACACGGAAAGAGTGTACAGAGAGTTTTTACGACAGTAGGACACCCGGCACTGCCCGTATCTACTTTTATTAATGTAGAAAAACCAAAATTAATAATTACCGTTTTAAATCAATGCTTTTATGACAAGGAAATATGTACATTCAGCCAGTTCTGTCTCTGGTGTATGCTGCTTGCATTGCCCCTTTCACTGCGATGATTGTCTATTCAGGGGCGTAGTTATGAGAGTATGTGTAGTCTGTGTAGTAATTCTGTGGCCTGCCCCGACCTGCTGGGTAAACCCAGGAACAGGGTCCACCTCCAGTCCCATCCCCAAGTTCCTGTCCTCGACCGGCCCGAGGCCAGAGTCCTACCGGAGGGGCTCCTCTGCCTCTGAAGCCCCCTAAAGAACCAGGAACCAAAGTCCCCCGCGCTGGCCAATGGTCCATATGCCCGGGAACGCCACCTATGCTCCCATAACCCAAACCTCCCACTGGATGTGTAGGCAGCTTAGGTCTGGGTACAGACCCCCCTCTGGTGGCCACTGGGGGAATACCAACTGGAGTTCCTAGGCTTTCAGCACCATTCCCCTGAGTCCTGCTCCCCTGGGTGCCAGGGGTGCTGCCCACAGGGATTTCACCTGTTTTTGGGACGCCAATTGGCTCCATTGACTTAGACGTCACTGCACCCTGGCTGCAAGCAGTCTCACAAGTGCTCGTCTCCTTCACGCCCCAAGCACTTTCCCCAGCTCCACTGAGTGTCCTGTCTTGCAGTGTGGGGGCCCCACTGGCACCTTTAGAAGCAATCCCAATGTATCCGGGTTGGGAGGAGTCACTATGGTCTTTGTAAGGTAAGGCGCTGATGAGCGGAGAGGCTCCGGCTGATACAGCTCCTCCAGCGTCTGCCCCGTATGTCTGCCCCTGCATCATAAAGGGAGGAGGAGGTGGAGCTTTGACTTCTAAGGGAAGAGAAGCCAGGTTTGCTAAAGGTCCCACTGCAGCAATGACGGGTGGAGTTGGAACCACAGGAGCCGTGGTGGTTGAGGGGCGGTGTTCTTGTTCCTGCGTGCTGCTGCAGGGTGAGGCGGGATACGCCGGAGACGCAACATAGCTGGAAGAGCCGCTGTAGGACGACCAGGAGGCTGAAGGGCACAGAAAACTCTGGTGGGTATTTACAGGAAAACCTCCTGGAGACAAGCTGCCAATGTCTGAGCAGGCTAATCCGAGCTGGTTGGTGGCTTTGAAATGGGAGATGGCCGTTTTAAGAGCGCTGCATTCAGTCAGGGTTGATGTTCTTTCAGGGGTGGCCTGCAGGTCTGGGAGAGGGGGGCGAAAGTCCTCCTTCTCCGAAGGCAGCAGCAGCTCAGGGTTATTCTTCTTAGCCTGAACCTGATCTAGAGGATCTGTCAAGGTTGCTGGCTCGCCATCATCAGAATCTAATGACATGTCCTCTGCCTCCACACACTCATCATTCACTACTGGGAGAACAGATGAGGGCAGAGGGGGTGGGGGGACATAAAGGGGTGAGAGAATGAAAACAAATGAGGAAAAGTATAATTTTTTTTGTGCCTAATGTTCCCGTAGATACTCACCAGTGGAAGGTGGTGTAGGAAGCTCATTCTGATTAATGGATCCAATCAGGCTGTGAAAACCAGTCATAACGTCGTCAATGCTCGCGATCACTATTCCATTTCTAGAGTAGTGCAGGAACATTTCAAACGGTCTCTCTGTTAAAAAAGGAAGAACAAAACATTTAGGTTTAGTTACAGTAAAAGTCATCTTGATTCAGTATTTTAAATCTAAAACTATAAATAAGGTTAAAACTAGAGATGCAACAAATAGGCCTTTCATCACAATATGCTTTAAACAATGTTATTCTATCCCTTCTTTAAAATCCTGCCCAAAGGGGTATTTTTGCTTTATATGTGCATGTCTGAATAATTCCCCCTGAATTCTGCTTTCTGAGCAGCAGCCCCTCCCTGTCCTGGAAAAATCAGTGGCCAACCTCACTGCTATACATAAAACGGTGATAACCTGAACCCTCCAGGAAGCAGCTACATTGTCATTGCGTCACTACCCACCAAACAACAGATCTGTTTTTATCTAATGTCCAAATCATGAATATGTGCCTTTGGTCTTTGTTCAGTCTTCCTGAACAGGAGCCGAATAAGATGTTGCATCACAGATACCATCACCATGTCAACAGCAAAGACTAAAATAATCTGAATTAAAAAAACGATTATAAATATCAAACATGTAGTTTGTTCCAGGGTTACAGCAGTAAAATCTTTCTAACTGCTGACCAGCATTTTGAACGATTCCACGGGTATTTTCACAGCTTTAAACTTGGAATACCTCAGTAAAACACTGTTGTTCAAAGTATGTCTTTTAGGACATAAAGTACAGAGGCAGGCAGCCTAGTCATCACTATACTACAACAAAAGAAACTATACTTAATATTTTCTTTTGTAACACCAATCCACCAAATAATGATTATTTCCTTTAAGCACAAAATTGTTTTTTAGGGTCAATTGAGTCCATTTTGTGGATAAAAGGATAAGTAGCTGGTTTCTATATGTGCATCTTCACTAAAAAGAAAAAGAAAAGGTGACTAGAAGCAGCTGATGGTAAAGTACCTGTGAGGAAAATAAGGTGCCGTTGTTGTGTGTTTTGAGCTTGAAGCTTGATCAGGCATTCCAGATCTGGAGCCTGGCGTGATTGGGTGTCACACTCGTGATACGGGAGAAACTCCACCAGGTGCTTTTTCTGGTAAGCAGTCAAAAGGTTCAGCAGCCCCATAGCGTTGGCATTTAACCTTAAAGAGAGACAATCAGAATCAACAATGATAAGATATAAACCCAGATCAAAGTGTAATCAGTAGCATTAAAAAAAGGAGAACACCATGCTTTTATTAACTGGATTATAATTACACATGACCCAAAACTTTAAAGATTAGATGTTTAATGGGCTGAAACCATGTTTAAGGTACAAACAATATGCTTCTGAACTTGGTTTAAAAGTTGTATTAAAAATGTGTGAAATTGAGGAAAATTGTACGTTCTTAAGAGCAATAACAAAACCTGCGAAAAGTTAAACTGCTTTTAAAAAAGACACATTCCCCAAAAAGTGAAAGGTAAAGTTTGGGGGTTGGTTGGTTTATTTAGATGAAAATGCAAATTATATTTATTTGTTCTTTCACTGTGTTTACAGAGATGTTTCACCTTTTTTTCCCTGCCAAATAAAAATGAACTAATAAATGATTGAGGCTGAGTATTATGATCTTAACGCAGACATCACAGTAGATCTGCTCCCATACTGACCTCCCCAGTTCTTTAAGCTTCTTCTGGGACTTGCAGTGGACCTTCCACTGCCAGGGATGTTCAGGAGTGCTCTGGTCCTCCAAGAACTTCAGCAGCCCTTGTAAACGATCTACAGACACAAACAAGACATCAGGATGTGCACATGTAAAAAAACAAAAACAAACATAAAACAAAAGAGAAATTCATTGGTTTTAAATATAGATTTAATACAGTACTTTCAAAATCGTAGGTCTGTCTGTTTAATCTTAGGATTGGAGTTTTTTTTCTTTTAAGATAATCCAAGTGCAGATAATGAAGATATTACCTTGATTAGCAAACTACCCTGTTGAGGTTTTTTTCGGACCCATTCTTAAGAATAGCAGGATTACATAAGGTCTTATTCATCCTGCTTCCTTTGCACCAAAAAGCAAATGAATGATACAAAACTATATCAAAATCAGGCTAGGTAAAACGAAACATAAAGACCTGATATACAAACCTTTCTTAAAAGTTTAGACCTAAAGTTGTAAGAAAAACAGGGCAGTGAAGTGGGAGACCTTTGAGCTGAACAATTACAAATCTTTTTTCTTCATCTAAGATGGAAAAGCTGATAAAATCCATCATAATTTAAACTGCCAAGCAGGTTAGAACGCCTCCATCTCGTTTCTTCCAAATGATAACAGGTAACTTGTATTCATGCTAATCTGAATATAATGAGCTTCATCACAAGAATGCAGCAGATACTCATTATGAATAATGTCAGAGGTATTTGTTTTTCAGGCTTTGACAATGAATATCTCTATTTGTGCACAAAACACAGGTTGTGTATCTTTGCAAAGTATCATTGTATTTGTGTGGCTGGTGTGTCATGTGACCTCAATTAACAATTTATATTTGCCTCATAGCAAACTGACTAAAAACAAATAAGCCAGGGAAAAATTACCTACTGATAAAATCATGTCACATTTCCAAAAACATAAAAAGCAATTACTCTGTTTTATTGTTTACAAAAAATGTTGCCAATAAACAAAGTCTATTTCTAATAAAAATGGATGAGATTAGAAGCTAAGCTTTGTGGGTAAACCTCACATAGCCAAAACCTGCAGGTTTGAATTAGTCTAAATTCACCTCAAAAAGCCCAAAATAACTGCAGTTAAAGCTCTGATCCAACAATTAGATGGAACTGTATTCCAATGAAGCTTACTATACAGACAAATAATGAAAATGACAGTGGTAGAAATGTCACACTGCAAAAATTAGAAATCTAAGTCATTTTTTCTTAAAATATGTGCATTTTATCTTGAATTGAGGTGGTAAATGAGACACTGCCAATAAAATAAGACAATTTACATTTAAAATAAGAAAAATCATTCGCATTGTCTTATTTCAAGTGCATTTTATCTAATTATCGTATTTTAAGAGTAAAAATACTCATTCCATGGGCAAATTATCTTATTTACCTGCTCAAATTAAGGGTAAATACCCTTAATTTAAGAATTTCGTTATTTCTGGATAGTTGTTTCAGTATACACATAATGGAGTGCAAATTTAAACAACAAAAAAATATATAAACATTTTTGTGGCTTGGGTTCAGCTTATTTATTACTGGAATAAAGAGTAAAACCCACCCTGTGTGATGAGATCAGGGTTAAGGACAAACTCATCAGACACCATGAAGCCTCCCGACACAAACAGTTCGTTGTATGTGTGGTTCTTCACGTCGTCCAGGGAGTCAACTCCAGCAAAGCTCACTGAGGGCAACTTTTTTAGGGAAACCAGAGCTGGAATCTGCAGCACGAAAATAAACTTTATTACTTCATGTTTAGCATCTTATAAAATAATAATAACAAATCTATAATGAAATTGTTATTAAAAGCTCTACAAGGAAATATGAACAGATACACAAAGTTACAGATGAAGAATATTAGCTGGGCTGAAGTTAGCCAGGCCCCAGGAAAACCGAGTGGTTTACTCAAAAAAATGTTTTCAGGACGCTAGACAAACAGCACTTTTTACTGCATGTTAACTTTCATTGATTGATTGACTTTATTGATCTCACAGTGAAGAAATGTATTTGTTATGTCGGCTCAATAGTCAAAAAGAGAAAAGTGCAAATATAAAAACAAACAGGGCTACAGAGGACCAGGAGTAGCTACTGCACCTTGTGCACATGTGCAGCGATGTCTTCATTCCTGATGATGATGAGGAGCTTATCCAAACTTCCACTATTTTCCAGAAATGTCTGCGGACTGCATTCACTGTTGCCTAGACTTTTCAGGTACTCCTTTTAGACAGACAGGAAAGGTACATTGTTAGAAACGGAAAGGCAAACGACTGTGTCCTCTTCTACTACGTTTCCAAGGTTGAGTGACAGATACAAAAGGAAAACCATGCATTGAAACGGGACGTGTTTTGCACATTTGCACTTCATTTGTAAACATCTGTGTGTGCAGACAGCAGTGGAGTCTTTTCAGATTAAATTTGAATACATGAATGTGTAAAAATGGGAGTAATTAATGAGGACTGCAAATAAAGTATATTTAATTAGTCACAACCGTTTTTATATTCAAGAGAGAAAAAAAACTAAACATTCATTCTCATGAGACTAGTGGTAGATTTAGGACCCTTCTTTTTGATGTAACCAATGGAATACAGCAAATTTTGAACCTAAATGATTACAACATCCAACACAAAGCTGAGTAACATTTCAAAAAGAAGCATAAAAGCAATTCTGTAGGAAAGTCCTTAGCCTAACAGCTGTTTCATGTTATAAACTACTTTAACCCCTCAGCTCTTAAACACTTCGACTGAAGGAAGAGAGCTATATGAAGATACCACACCAGGAACATTTTTAATAAGTTATTAACTAAAACTTTTGAAGATGTTGAACTGCTGTTTACTGAAAATTAGATTTTTTCATTTTATTATAATAAAACTGAGCAAGGAGTGCTCTATTTCACTCTGTAAACACCCCAGTAGGTGCATTTTCATTCATATTCAGTTTGAGGAATATATGATTTAGGTTTACTCATGCTTTGGTGTTTCAAGGAATGTCCTGATCCAATATTAATATAAGATATTATAGATATATTACCTCAAAAATAGATATTGGGTTTTGTTGGCCGACATCTAAAATCTCTGATATTTTCAAGCTAATGGAAACATGTTTCCTCTGTTCAAAGTGTCTGCAAATTATTGGTTAATTTTACATGGGTCAGTTGTTTTCATACCATTGACTGTTGACTTGTGTTCCCTGTTTATGAAATATTACTTGACAAGCATTTTCTAACATTTTACATTATAATATAAGCAGCTATGATTCGTGCCAATATCTTATCGGGTCAATATCCGGACAAGTATTTTTACATTTTCTACGGGACAAACAGGAAATTGGCAGAAAGAAGCCTGATGTCCAATTGTTATAGTAATGAAAACTGAAGGTCATTGGTGGAAAGTTTCAGATTCTACCTTAATCTCCTTGCAGACAGTGCTGTCCTCGCCTTCTTCTCCAGAGTAGATGTAAAATTTAACTGTATTCTTCGTGACGTCTTTGAAGATTTCCACCAGACTGGTGAAAAGCTCCGGTTTCAGCTGCCCAATGAGGCTCCCTGCGAGCAGGTTTGACCCGCCTTCAGGAGCAGCACCAGCCGAATGGGAGCTCAATTCTGGTGAGTCTGATGTGGCATGAGAGGGAGAATAAAGCCCTCCTCCCCCCAGTGCTGGAGCTTCTGTTTTAACCTTGACAGACGTCTCACTGCTGCTGCAGCTCTTTTTAACACCATCTGAGAATGTGGAGTTCTTCATAACAGAGGGCTCTGTTTTCATTTTGGAAAACTGCTTGGGTGCAGCGGTTGGGGTTCCAAGGCTAGATGTCACAGGGGGAGGTGGAGAGGTGACCTTGGGAGAAGCAGGTCGAGCTGGGATCAACCTGTCCATCTTTTCACATAGTGCTTGGACATGCCCCTCGACGGGTACAGGGGGGACGAAGGGAACAACATAGTGTGAGAAGTAGCTGCTGGGCTGCCAGCAGTGACGTAGAGACAGCCTTTGGGGGAGCTGTGAGGTATAGCTAATGCGCTGAGTCTGCATGATGTTTTTAATGTCCGATGTGAGGCTGCGGATCTCCTGGTTCAAAATGGTGTCCAGGCTGATGGAGGGCTGGAAGGGAACCTCATCTCCGACCATTGGCGCAGCAGGATTTTTCACTTCTATAGCAGCAGGCGTCTTCGCCTCTTGGTTGGTTTCTGCCGTTGGTGCAGGCTCAGGCTCAGGCTCCGGTTTGGCTTCAACAAGTGGCTGAGCTTTTTCTGGAGGAGAGCAGAGAGGAAACTGTCACGCTGATGCCCCGTTTACCTCAAACAAACAAGAAGACACAGGAGTAGTCCATGTCGATTTTAGCTTGGACAAATTCAAGAAAGTTTGAATAACGAAACTGGACTTCAGTTCTTGGAACTCAAGATGTTTGGCTTATTAACAGTAAAGCTTTCTCCGATCAAAACCAGCGGGGGACAAATTTTTTAAGTTGTGACTTAGAGCCAGGGCTGGACAATATGGCTATTTCTTAATTTTTGGATAATAAAAAATAAATCTAATCTTCAGAAAGATGACCAAGAATGCCAACAAGAGATGCAAGGAGAAAAATAGGACAAATATTTTTCTATATTTATATAATTAATACAACATAACATGGGGGGGGGGCCTATTCCGAGAACTCGCAAACTTTTTTTTTTATTGCGGAGTCTGCAGGATATCAGTGGCTCTCAAATCAAACAAAATGAGTTGCTAGACATTATTGAGGACATATTTATAAATATAATTTGTCTGAGGCATTGTACAAGTGGTTGTACTTCCTAACCACCTCGATCAACTTTTCATCGTAGTTGTCCATTGTTCCTCGGTTTTTAAAAATAGTGCCCCCCCATCACTGAATCGAGAAGGACGACCACAAAGACAGCCGGAAAGGCATTCCAAGGACCAATCACAGCTGCTTTTTGTTTGCGCACTTCCGCTTGAGGTCTGCACGGGTTTGCGACCGTCCGACGCGTAGTCAGGATTTTTTTGAGGTGTGCGACGACGATTGAAGAGGCTATGCGTCAGAAGCATAAATTGGCCTTTAGTGCTGCTGTCTGCCTTGATTTCTGACAGATGTTTTGGTCACATGGAAAATTATGTGAATTTGTCTTAAACTAACAGGGAATCAGACTCAATGCTGAACTAGGGCCCTATCATTTCTTTGATTCGGAAAACGCGGACAGAATCAAGGAATTTCACAAATAAAATGGAATGTATTACAAAACACAGAATCTCAAGAAGTAATATGTATGCAAGGTATTTTGTCTACTGCCAGCTCCCGTATATAGTTATTTAGGGCGGGCTCTTGTTTCCAAATCGACAACAGGAAGTAGATCAGCCTTGTCAAAGAGTCACGCAGAAACACCTAAGTCATTCAGAAAATAAAAAAAAATCTTAAACTTAGCACAAAGTTTAGGGCGGAACAATATCCCCGTGATTTTTATGAATCTGGAGAGCAACCTGTCTGCAACTCGGTCAGCACACAGTCGACTGGAAGCGCAAGAACACTTAAAAGTCAAGGAATCACATCAGAAACAGAGAGGAGGTAAGCTAGTGCCTGCAAACTCTTGAACATTCAACATCAGTGGAAGCAAAGCGGGGGTTTATTGAAGATTTTGTGTGTGGAATAAGACATTCCTTTAAAAAAAAAAAAAAAACGAGAAAGCTTTGTCCTTTTTTTGATAAAGTACTTCAAGCAAATGGGTGCATTGCCAGAACATGCAAGCAGCTTCTGTCAAACCCAAATGGAGGCCGTCCAGAAGAAATTGCAAGGAAAAAATATATATGGTAGTCGACGAAAAAACTGATGCTCGCGATTGCAGTGCTCTGAACATTGTTGTTGTTAATTTGAGCACACAATTAAATAAGTTATTTAAAACGTTTTTGAATGTAAAGGTCATACTATTTTTAAGTGTCATACTATTTCAATATATTTGTGAGTCATTCAATGTTTGAGGTATTTTGTTTGTGAGACGTTACATTCAATGCGGAATTACTCAAGTGAAGTTTGGTCTTGCACATAAAGAATGTTTTTCGGTCTATAAAGGACATGTTAGCACCTTGCAAAACACACGTAATGTTCTGCTGAAACACAGCAATGCATTTTATTTTGGAAAAGGAAAGTCAGTGTTGTGGCTAATCATTTGTTTGTTAATTTTCAGTTTTATATACTTTTACTGGTTAATGTTGAAATGAAAACATGTAATTAAGAAAAAAATTTAAAAAGTGTAATACAGAATGATAAAAATGTGGAATTTGGGAAAAAAAAAAAAAAAAAAAACTGAATTTGAGAAAAAATAAATCAGATTTCGTGAGGCCCTACTGAACTGTGGGTCTTGGAAAGCTAAAATCTGAGGCGTCTTGCTCTGATGTCAGCTTTTCTCCTCTAGCAAAGATCCAGTCAGATTCAAACCAATTTATAACTTGTTGTATAGGAATAAAACCACCAAAAGAGTGGATTTACATACAGTAGGGATGTCCCAATTCAACTATTTTCCTTATCAATACCAATATGGCACTGTATGTATTGACCCGATATGATATCAGCTCAAATCATATTGACTTTAATTACTTATTTTGTGGTGTGGGATGTTAAAAAGCTTGCTCAAGTAATATTAGTCCACCAGAGAGCAATACAAGTAGTTGACAAAAAAGGCATGAGGACAACTGACCCACATCTTATTAGCCAGTGGATAACAGCAGGAACAGCTCCTTGGAAACATTTTTTAAATCATCTAACATACAGACTATTGGAGCTGGTGCTGAATAAGGCAAAAAGTCGATAGTTTGCAACTTGTATCTATGGAGCAGCAAAACAATGTAATTCCTCTCCAGCTCTGAGTAGCATTTTTTTTTTTATTCAGAAGTGCTAAAACTGTTAGTTCTGACAGGCTACAAACAGGTTTTTTTCCACCTGAAATTAATTCCTTAAATTAATGGAACTTTTTTCACGCTGCTCCTGAGAAAATGAGGATATTTTTATGTGTAAAATTAAATACAGTATTAATTGAAGCAGAGAGTTGTGGTCTAGTGGTTACAGCAGAGCGTGCATCCGGAGGAGGCTGCCTCCGACTGCTCTATGTAAGCTGTTCCCTGCTTCCTAATGGGTGAGTGAAATGCAGAATATTTGACTGGAATAGAGATAAAATATTATTATTATAATACCATTATCAACTAACCATAAAACAAGAGTATTTTATGTAGGGTGTGTTCACTTAATAGATTTTCCTGAAGGTCAATTTTTGCCCACAATAAAATAAAATGAATATAGTAGAAGTGAGAAAAAAGATGGCTATTTGGATTAGTAAGGTTTCCGACTTCTGCTTTAAATGAAGAATAGGCAGATTTTATTAGTGAGATAGTTTGAATATTGCATTATAAATTCCTTCTGACAGGGTTGTGTGCTTCTGACCATCATCAATCTTCTATTTAGGTCACAGCAAAAATAAAAACGACTTCAGACTTTCCACAGCTCCTCCAAATCCAAAGTAATATATATTTTCAAGTTTTAATTTTTTTTTTAAAGATTCTTTAATTATGTGTACAAAATTTGGACTTCTCCACAGCAGTAGCACCAGGGCTCTGAAAGTCCTGCACCTTCAGTTGCACTACTGTAGGCTTCACTGCTTTTTTTTTTAAATTTATTATTATTAAAAAAAACAACAAAAAGCCACATTTCTAAAATCTATTTTGCTGAACTTTCTGCATCTGTTGATTTTTAATATCTTTAGTTTCCCTTTTGAACAGCGAGGCAGGATCTGTGCTTTAAAAGATGCTTTATAAAATCTTTAATTTACCATCTGGACATTAAATCCTAAATCTGGCTTGGCAGCACAAAAACAACTTTTTTCAATAGTTTCTTATTATTGGTTAAATTTCAAATGAAAAACACCTGCCTCGCCTTTTTACTTGCAGCAAAGAGTTCAGCAGATATAACCTGAACTATATAGCCTGAACTCCCTAATATGAAGGATGCATGTCTCTACTCCCCCTCTTCTCCGTCTCCAGGATCCTCACCACGTTTTAAAGTAAATACTCCCTTTCCTTTGTCAAGCAGAGGTGTCTGTTCCCAGGATAACCGAACAGATGTACAACCAGCATATATAGAGGATGCATGGAGGTCTTCTTTATTCAAATAGCAGATAACATCCTCATTGCATATCTGAGGTTTCTAGAAAGCTTTGATGAATAACAAATATAAGATCAACTGTGATCAACATTTGTATGTGATAAATTAAGTGTGGATTCTCACACACAATTTCAGGTTATTTTAAGACTGTGATACATTTATTTTGTTTGGTAAAAACTAAACTAAACAAAAAAAAAAAAAAGAGGACAATTAAAGCTGAAATCAGAAGCCTTTCAGGACAATCCTTGAATTACCTTCATTGACAGGATGATTCTCAGATATGACGTCTGAGGGCTGTGCTGCCTGTGGCGGCGAGCCCATGCCCGGCGGACTCCCTGGGCTACAGTCCATGTCCTCCTGAACAGAAAACAGCCAGTTTTAAGTCTACAAAACGTGTGGCAACAGAAAAACAGTACGAATTAAAACGATCAAAGCTCACCGCTGTGTAGTTTGTTTGCGGAGCTGCTTCAATTTGCATGGCAGCAGCTGATTTGGAAAGGATGGACTCCATAATTCCTGAACTAGTCGAGGATTCGCCCTGACTCGGCGGCACGGGCATGGAGCTCTGAGCCATGGCTTTGTTGAGTGTGGCCAGGAGGATTTTGAGCAGGCGCTGAGTCTCGTTGGCTGTTGAGGCGTCAGCGCTGCTGCGATTTCTCAGGTCCGTGTCATAGAGGCCGATGGTCTCCATTACTGCCGTTAGGCTGTCCCCCTGTCCAGCCTCGGCTGTGTTTTCGTCTTTCTGGCCCACTAAAAGAACAAACAACCAAAACTTCTTACTGGACTTAGCCCGAATCATGAGCAAGCTTTGTTTTTTTTTATCTCTACTTTGTAGAAAAAGTTAGTGTAGAACACATAAAGAGCTTATACAGTGATGCACTTTTTCTAAGTTTAATGATAGAATAAAAATCTAATCTAAGTGGTAAAAAAGCAGCAAAGGACTGCTGAATTTCTAGTATTCATCAAGCTTTAAAAGGAGAGAGAAGGTTGTTGAGATTTCAGTGACTCAGAACTAATCAGAATGTGCAAAATGCAAACACAATCTTCACACATTCACACCTCACAGACTTTGGAAGCAGAATGCATTAAATTCCTGGCCAAAAAAAACAACAACAAAAAATTAACTAATTACATTAATTTAAATAGGTAGCATTCTCTGGTCTCACCTCTACTTGGTTCCCCGTTACTAAGATGATCAGTGCGTTGGTGTTTGTTCATTCCACCTTCGCCGTCCCCTTCGAATTTCCTTTTTAGACTGTTGGCATCCCAGCTTCCATCCTCCCCTAGATCCCTCCCTGGATCCTGAACCAGGGTTTTCTTATGTAGCTGGATTAGCTTAAGCAGCTGTTTCATCTTGTCCTGGTCGTACTCGTTCTGGGAGAGCTCCGACTTCGAAGGCTGTGGCTCGCCGTGGGGTTTGGGTTGCAGTTGAGCACCATTTGAATGCGTCGTGTCTGGCCTACGTTTGCTGGTTTCAGGAGGTGCCTTCTCCTGGCCAAGCCTCTCCAGGGAGACTCTTTCTGCTCGGTCCGATCCTCTGTCCGAGCCCCCCCAGTCAGAAACAGGGCTGTATTCCATTGGCACAGAAAGAGGAGCACAAACAGGAACTGATGCGGGTGGAGGTACGGGGGCGGGGCTCCTTATTCGTTCCATTATGTCCCGTGCCTTGCCCAGAGGTAAAACGTAGTTTGCAGAGTTGTGAACGTACGACCGTAACACAGCGTCCATATTAAATTTGGGTCTAGGCACCGAAATAGGGCTTGCCCTTTCATCAAAACTGTTTCTGTAGTCAGGCAGAATAAAAGGTCGCACCGTTCCAGACTCCATACGCGTTAGATAGTCTGCGGATTGGCGTTCCACACCAAGACTCAGGTCCTTGCCTGGCTTCAGACGCAGCTTAAACAAGGCATAGTGTAGTGCAGGAATAAAAGGCTCCATGGAGGTCAGGAAAGTTGCCTGGGGCTCTGGCTCCGACACTCTGGCAGCTAAAAAAAATAAATAAATGAGACGCATGTTAGATTCTATAGCTGATTCAGCTTTTGCAGCTACACACAAAAAGGGGTTTCCACTAAGAGAAGGTTAACAGTGAAAAAGGAAAAGAAATAGATTCATTAAAGTGACACACTTGATTTCTTTTTTTTTTTTAACTAGCTTCTGAGTTTCAGGGAACATGTTATATATTACTTAAACAAAGATTTTAGAACAAAAACGTTGTATTTTAACCAAAAGAAGCTGGAAGCTTTAGTTAGGCGGAATAAAAAGATGCACAAGAAACAGGGATATCTGCAGCCTTCAGAGTATTGTTAACTAAACTCCACTTTGGGAGAAATTCTCATTTTATAGTCGGTGTTACAGGAATATTTGGAAGTATCTTCTTTTTGTCGCTTTCCATGACCCCACTTAGGTTTTTCATTTTGTCTTGTAAGAACAATTTTAACAAAGACTGTATCTGTTCTCCAAGGCAAGGCTTAATAAACAGCGTGAATGAAGAACAATCATCTTTTTCTTGCTAAATAAGACTAATGCTTTATTTCCTAAAACAGGGGCCGAATTGTTCCCGTTATGGATATTTAATTATCAAAAGAGTAAGACTGTTCAAATAAAGTAAAGGAAATTCAATCTAATCTCTAAGTTTATTTGAAGGCAAGCTGCATTCGAGGAACAGTTCACAATGGCGTTAGTGAATGTGCAACTAGCATAAAGTTATCACATTCTTGTATACACATC